AAATCCAAGTGACAGTCCTCCATGTCCAAGCCAATTTGAATTAATTTTGCGAGCAGAGATTTTGTAAGACACTACATCAAGTGTTTTACTCAGACCAGATATATTACACATGCTTTCATCCACTAATTTTCTAAAGCTATCAGAAAAAGCAATCAAGCTTTGAAGATTACTAGCACCCAGCCAGCTTTTTGCTGGTTTATTCACTTACAAAACCAATCTTGGCATTATTAAAGATTTGCCACTCCTTCAGCTGATGAGTGATTTAAAACAATGCATCTTTCTAATCCATTACCTTCCCAAAATAACACAGAGCCCTGATTATTCCTCCTAAGTGCTATTTTAGGGCTGTGTGGTGTGTGAGTTTAAATTGTGATTGGCAGACAGATATTTTCCTTGAAAAGGATCCGTGCTTTCAGCAGCTTAGCTTATGTTTATTTTACATGCTTCCAGCTGTTAGCTTGTATCAGCAGTTATTCCTTATTCCCAGTGTGGAAGCAAGCAGGTCCTGTGGCACCTCTTTAATTATATCAGGGAAGGAACATCAGACTGGCAGCACAGGTAAAAAATACAGTCTGGCAGGATTAGTCCTCACAAAACCAGATTTATTTCTTACATGCCAGTCAAAATAAACTTTCTCTCCTTATTTAATATATCCCTTCCCTCTATGTTTTATTGCCTGCTCATGCTATAAATTGTTATACTTAAGACTTCTAGTCAGAATTTGGTTGGTTTTTTTTTCCCCTCTTTTGGCTTGTTCATTCCTTATTCTTCTGTCTGCCTAAAGCTGGAACCATTTATTCACCACCTGTTCCCTTCCTGTGGTTGTGAAGGGCTGTGTTTGTTTTCCAGATGTGGTTTGGGGCACAGAGAAATGTGGTGCCTGCAAGTTTCTGCAGACTCTTCACTAAAAATGGGAAGGTTTCAGGTATTTTTCCCTCCTACTAAACTCTGGTTTTTTTACAGCTGCCCCCACTGAAACACTTTTTTATTCTTGCCAGTGTCATTCAAATACAGTTCTTGGTTATTCCCTTACCTGGGGCTCAGCTCTGCCTCTGCTTTGTCAATGGTGTTTTTACTGAAATGAGTCCAAAAAGTTTCCTGCTACATTTCTCTAAATTTTTCATGCTGTTAAGTCAGCTTGTTCAGGGTAAAAATTTTGAAACTGGAATGTCACCCTCACAAAAATGCTGAGTGTTTTGCTGACTTGTGTGAGTTTAGGGGATCTTACAATGGATGTTGAATTGTTTATTGAATGTGGTTTTTCTTTATTTCTTCACTCAATTTTATTTATCAAAATTAATGGTCTCTTGATCTAAGTCTTTCAGCTCCTAGTGGAGTGACTACGTCAGAATACCCAGTGCTGAACTCCTTTGCATGTGTGCATGAAGGCAGAAAGCACATTGATTTTCCTCCCAAGGATAAGGGGAACAAAGGTCAGAGCTCCTCACTGTCGAATTTATGCAAGATTAATGCAGAGAATACAGCAGAGTTCACTTAATGAGGGTGAAACATGCAGATGAGTGAAGAAGTATCAGTTTCAGTTTTGATTGCCCAGCTGAAAGAATATAAAATAATACAATAACGTAAAATATCTTTAAAAAGAATTCCTGATTTAGAGGTAAGCAGTAGTGTGCAATCCTGTTTGGAGCTGGAAACGGGGAGCTCAGGCCTCATTTTCCTCTGCTCAGCCTTTGGAATATCCCGCATTTTCTGCTTCCACACTTGTGGAAAGCTGGGCGCCGTTCTATCATTGGTGAGGCTGCACTGGTGGGACGATGCTGTCTCACAGAAATATTCCTGTGCTAACGCTCTCGTGGCTGCTGGAGGAAATCCAGAGGTTTGTGTTAATCAGCGTCTGCAGTCCTTAAAAACAAAGAAATTGCTGATGAGCTCAGAATGATAAGAAATGTCTGGTGTCTGCAGCAAAGTGCCTGGAGTGAAGAGTCTTCTCTCCATGGATTGACCTTCTGGAGCTGCAATTGTGCATTTGCACTCACGCCCAGCAGCGCTGTGCAGCTCAAGACTGTGTTGTCAGCTGCCTTTAAGACTCCCTTTTAGTCTCTCTTTGCTTTGCAGAGCGTTTCCTTAGCACAGTGACAGGGACACAGAGCAGACAAGGCAAAGCACAGAGAGAAAAAAGAACTTTGGTGTTACTGCAGCAGGAAAAAGCCGGTCTGTGTGGAGCACTCCCATTTGTATAGTCTGTTGTTGAGAATGAAGCTCTGCTCTTTGGGAGGGATTTATTGTCCCTAAACGGACAGGTATGGATTTACTGTGGGTTTGAGAGGCTAAAATGAGTTTTGCTGCTGTGCATTCACAGGTCTGGCTCTGTGTCTCCTCTTGCTTGGTGACCTGCCCCAAATCCAGGTCCTGTTCTGTCACCTCCTTCTGAGCCTCTCACATTATTATTGATGGGCAACAAGCACACGAAAGTTCAGCCATAATTTCTCTCCTTAAAACTGGAATGGAGGCTTTGGAAGGAGCTTCATTTTCAGCAATGTGCTGCATCTTGCACTCGAAGCAGAAATAAAAACGCCCATTTCACTCTGTAACTGATTTAATCTCCAAATTTGGCACACTGACTCCTGAGAGGTTAACTGAATTTTCAGCTCACCAAACAAAAGTCCTTAAAGTGTTTACTGGAGTTTTGCTCGGATTTCCTCATGTTTCATGGATTTTCTGAACTAGTTCAGCCCGATGTCAAGATTTAAACATCTGAGAGACAGAAAACTCCTGAACATGCAGCAGGAGCTCTGCATTCATCAGGATCTGGTGAGTCTCACAGACCGTTCACAGACACCCGCTGAATGTTGGTTTTGGAAGTTTCTAGACAATATTTTGTTGGGAAAAAAAAACCAATCCACTCTGGAAAAAAATGATGAACTCTGCCTCCCTTTTTAAATGCAAACATCACAGCTATTCTTCTGTGCTCTCTCCTCATCTACAGTCAGTGCAAACCAGGGGGTCAAGGTAGGGCCTTGTGTGCTGACTCTGAAGTAAAGGAAATAAAGTTCCATTGGTACCAGGTTCATGTTCTCCCCCCAAAGCTCTGCCAGGTGCTCCCGAGTCCTTTGTCTGAATTCTTGGAGTTACACTGTTAGACTGGGAGGAAAAAATGTTATTCACAGCTTTATTAAACATCTGTAATGCCTATTACTTAATTAAAACCCAGCCTGATAGAAGCCCAGATTGCATCTGCCTGATAAGAGGTATTCCACTGTTCTCTTATCATGGAAACTGTTGTGTTTGACTGAGTTTTCCCCTCTATTTCAGAAATCAAATGTTGAATTAATGAGCTTCTTCCTCCCCTCTGATTTCCAAAAGCAAAGAAAAGAACAATATTCATGTTGGCAAGAAATTCCTACAGTACTAAAATCTATTTCTGCTGTGCTGGCTTTTCTGTATTTTTCGTGCTTCTCTTTTGTTTCTAACAGAACTGGTTGCTTCCCCAAAATCTTATGAGAACTTTCAGACTGCAATCAATTTCCAGTGCCTTTATGAAAGCAAAGCTCTGTCATTATGTTCCCAGAGGGATGCACCAGTAAACCTGAATCTGGGGAATAAAATTGGAGGATTACTGTTTCTTGTCATGTATTTCAGTTTTATGGTGTTGAGTACACTGGAATGGCTTCGTGGGGACAAAAAACAACAGCAGGGAAGGGAAGTAGCTATTAATGTCCTATCAGAGCTTGATAGGGCTTGATAGAATTTAAAAAACCCCAAAGTTGTGATATCTTCAGCAATTGTAATTTCAATTACTTGCTAGCTAAAGGCAACTTTCACTGCTTCAAGTTAGGAAATCATGTGAATAGACTAATTAATATAATTTGCCTTGTGCTCCACTAAGAGAACAAAACCAAATATTTCATTTTCTAAGAGGAAAAAAGAAGTAAACTAAATATTATAAATATGCAGTCCATCTGTAAAGCAAACATTGCATTTTTCCTGTCATCCCCAGCATTTCTGAGGAATTCAGCAGGATTCCCTGGGATGGTGGTGCCTTGCTTTGGCTCTCCAGCTGCTCCCAGAGGATGGAAATGCTCCTCTGTGAGGATGAGAGGCAACACTGAGGAACAACGGGGGGCTGCGCACAGAAAGGAGGTTTCATCATCTTCTATCTGCAGCCCTTTAATATCAAGAGACTTCCACAAAACTTGAAATGAGTCTTTGAAATGTTCCGTGCTGTGGAGGTAGGAAGGTACAATAAGTAATATTTCTCCTTTTTCTCGTGTGGAATGGAGAGATAAAGCTATTTATAAAGCTGTGAAGACTTACAAATCATTCTAACAGGTTGTCATATGTTAATGTCAGCGAGAATTTAATCACCCAAAGTAAAAAATCTATATTTTTTTTTTCTCCAACCCTATCTTATTTTCATAAGTCTCTCTATTGACAGATTCTCTTGTGATGATAGATTAAAGGAATGCCCAAGACCACAAAAATGTAAAATCAGAAAAAATGCAGGGACTGACCCAGTGGGTTGTTTTTAAACTGCAGTTTTATTTTTTTGTTCTTGCAGCGTTTACAGGATCTAATGAGGAGTCATTGTGCTCAGCACTGTGCACCTGCTGAACAAGGGAATACAGAGCTAATAAATGGATGGACTGTGGAGATCCAGATTTATGCAACAAGCAGCAAAGCTATCTGTGCAAACTCTTTGTGGAGTTGTTGGTTCAGGAATAAACAACCTTGCTTAGGAGCAGAACAGTTTTACTCATCAATTTATTAATAAAGATTTTTATGACAGCTGCTTGCCCAAAAAGCTGTTCAGTGACGGGTTTAATTTGCCATCTGGGACTGGAGTGCCCTGAATTCTTTGGCTTTTAGCCACTCTCACTCCTGTTAAAAGGAGACACATCCTTGGGCTTTCCAGGTGATCCCGTGGTGAGCTTGACTTTATCCTCTGAACCAAAGAGGAGTTTTATTTTAGAGAAAAATAAAGACATGCATGAGGTTAGATCTGTGATATTATAATTTTGCATCTAGCTCTCAGTAAATCCACTGCTGGTGAGGTTCTTGTCCAGAGGAGGTTTGGACATCCAGAATTCCTTGGTGGCATTTATCCTTTACCCTGAGCTCTAATTGAAGCGGGGAAGGCTCAGGCCAAGCTTGCTGTGCTGTTATGGTGAGTATTAGAAAAAATTAACCTTAAAAACCCCCCTGTTCTCTCCTTCCAAATAATGTGATGCTGCTGATGGAACTGATGGTTTGGCTCTTTCCTTCACTGCATACGAGCAGTTCACAGAGCTGAAATGTGCAATTTGACCCCCTGCATTTCCCTTGGGGTCCGTGAGAGGGTGCAGAACCCTGTCCTGGTGATGGAACACAGGTGAGGCGTCCCAGGTGATGGAACACAGGTGAGGTGTCCCAGGTGGTGGAACCCCAGGTGAGGTGTCCCGGGTGATGGAACACAGGTGAGGTGTCCCAGGTGGTAGAACACAGGTGAGGTGTCTCGGGTGATGGAACCACAGGTGAGGCGTCCCAGGTGGTGGAACACAGGTGAGGTGTCCCAGGTGGTGGAACACAGGTGAGGTGTCCCAGGTAATGGAACACAGGTGAGGTGTCCCAGGTGGTGGAACCACAGGTGAGGTGTCCCAGGTAATGGAACACAGGTGAGGTGTCCCACGTGGTGGAACCACAGATGAGGTGTCCCAGGTGGTGGAACCACAGGTGAGGTGTCCCAGGTGGTGGAACACAGGTGAGGCGTCCCAGGTGGTAGAACACAGGTGAGGTGTCCCAGGTGGTGGAACCACAGGTGAGGCGTCCCAGGTGGTGGAACACAGGTGAGGTGTCCCAGGTGATGGAACACAGGTGAGGCGTCCCAGGTGGGAGCAGGGGCTGCAAAGTGTCCTTCCCATTCCAGAGGTGCCAGCTGCAGCTGGAAATGGAGAGAACAAAAGTTCAAACACATAAACAGCACCGTGGGGCTGAGCCCTGCTGTTTGTGCTGGGGACATCCATCTCTCCCTGGGATTTTGGGACATGGTTCTCATTTCCCTCTCCCTGCGTTTCACAATGCAGGGTTTATTTCCAAGCCCTTCTAAATGAGGGGTTCTGCCTATTAGAAACACAGATTTATATTGCTGGGCTCCCTGATGAAGGGCTGGCTGGCTGATGGTGTGGGGTTGGGGCTGTGGTACAGAGCAGGCTGTAATAGGAAATCAAATAGTTCATTTCACAGCCATCAAGTGCATGCTGAGCTGCCTGACTGCTTTATGCTGCTTTATCTTTGAGGACATAAAACCTATTCTTACTTTATGAAAACACACTTTGTGTTGGATAATCATTTCATTTACATATAAAGGTTACACTTAATAAAAATATATGAACCAAAATTGCAACAAAGATACAACATCATAAACCACCTTTTTTAAAGTCTGCTGCTTTTCCCCCTTGAAAGGCTTCATTGCCTTTAAGACAGGAGATATTGCTTCAGAACTAAAGATTTAAAGCTTTTTTCTTCTGCCTGTAGTAAAAGTAATAAAGCTTTTTATTGTACAAAGACTGTAAATATATTTAGCAATAATTTCAACAGCTGGAAGTGTCTAGATGTCTGTAGTGGAAATACAAGGATCATATTTACCTAGACTTGGCCTTGAAATTTCTATAACCCTTTTCTTTCCACCTAAGCAGCACCGAACAGTTATTGGCTGTTATCTTGTAAACACTGCAAGACAATCTCGTGGAGAAAATGACACTGTGCAGCCCGAGATCAGATCCTGCTGGAGCAGCAGTGCTGGGAGTATTTTCTGTTCTCGTTGTTTGTGACAAGTGTTTCCTGCTGAGAGGAACCAGCCCTGCGGTCTGGAGCCTGGCACCCACCCCCAGGGCTCCAGGAGCTGTTCAGGGATGCTCTTTAGGGAATCCATGGCAAAAATAATGATAGAAAATGTGAGAATAATGGTTTTTATCATTGCTTGTGTTATCCTTAATGCAGGAGGTGTTGGGGTTTGGTGCAGTGGCAGATTTAGGGCGTAAAGCTCATTGCCTTTGGAATTACAGAAAGTTGAGAAGGTCTGGAGCCTGGCACCCACTCCAAGAGCAGAGTCAAGGATCTTCTTTAGGGAATCCATGGCAAAAATAATGATAGAGAACACGAGAATAATGGTTTTTGTCATTGCTGGTGTTATCCTGAATGCAGGAGGAGTTGGGGTTTGGTGCAGTGGCAGATTTAGGGGGTAAAGCTCATTGCCTTTGGAATTACAGAAATTTGAGAAGGTCTGGAGCCTGGCACCCACCCCCAGAGCCCCAAGAGCTCTTCAGAGATGTTCTTTAGGGAATCCATGGCATAAATAATAATAGAGAACATGACGATAATGGTTTTTGTCATTGCTTGTGTTGTCCTGAATGCAGGAGGTGTTGGGGTTTGGTGGAGTGGCAGGTGAAGCTCATTGCCTTTGGAATTACAGAAATTTGAGAAGGTCTGAAGCCTGGCACCCACCCCCAGAGCTCCAAGAGCAGAGTCAGGGATCTTCTTTAGGGAATCCATGGCAAAAATAATGATAGAGAACATGAGAATAATGGTATTTATCATTGCTTGTGTTGTCCTGAATGCAGGAGGTGTTGGGATTTGGTGCAGTGGCAGATTTAGGGGCAGGTAAAGCTCATCGCCTTTGGAATTACAGAAAGTTGAGAAGCAAACTTCAGTTTTCATTGCTGCCAACATCTCGTTGCCTTCCTCAGTAAATACCTCAGCCCTGCCAGTGTTTCATCCCTAAATCAGGATTAATGCATTTCCATTCCTCCAGGTTCCTATTGTGCTCCTGTTGACCCAGGAATACAAACACACTTTCAGCTCCTGAACCTTATTATCCTCTGAGGAACGTGTGCAGGGAGACAAAGGCGCTCTGTAAGCAGTGAGCAGCCTCTTCCAGCTCCATTTATAAAATAAAATAATTATAATTGTTCTAACTCTGTGTAGAGGGAAGTACAACCAATTATTGCTCAGCTATAATCACGAAATAGAAACAATGCAGACACAGACACTCAGTCCTTGTGGGGGGAACAGTGATCAGTAAGTTTGATGAGTGTGGTTAGAATAATTGTTGAAATTTCCTTGTCAGATGTATCTGAAGGGTAAATGCTTGCAGAGTTTCCAGGAAAAGAAGGAAAAATATTCCAAAATATTAGCTATCTCCACAGAAATTGTTCTTTTGGGGTTTTTCAGAGGTGCACTCAGGTCTTTCAGCCATTCAGGTTTTTCTGGACATGGTCTCCTACCCTGGCATGTCGAATGTGGATGTGACCTGCTGTAAAATGTTAATTTATTCTCCTATTGAATGGTTCTGGTGACCTTTTTGGTAGAGGTTTCTCTTCTTCTCAGCTGCCCTCTGCTCTGCCTTTTGCACTCTGAAATTGAGGAGACCACACTGAACCAGGGAAACTTTGATTAACAGAACAAACATTTCACTCAGGAAATTTTAAATTTTGACTTGTAATGCTTCACACTTCAAAACAGCATGAAAAAATCATATCTTTATGTCTCAAAAGGTTTTGAGAAAATACTGAAACATCCAGTTTTTGACAGCATCTTGCCAGCTACTTGAATTTGAAACATGAGAAAAGTCTCTGGAGCGTACAGGAAGAGTGATGATAGTCAGAAGGAAATGGATTGTGTATTGTTAAAAAACAAGACCTATCCAAACATGCAAGAGAAATGGAAGGTATCAAATCAAGACAAATGTTATTGTGCTGATAATAAGTTGGTTAAGATAGTAAAGTTTTCTAATAAGGCTGGAGGAGGAGACTTCTTTCTGATGGATGGGAGGACCACCAAAATGAAGAAAAAAATCTGTAAAATAATGCATCTCTCACTTTCTAACAACAGCTGTTTTGAAAATTGTTATTGAAACAGATTTGAGCAACTTTCAAGCATCATATCTTGGTATTAGTGCTAAATTTTGCTGCAATAGGCAGCAAACCCTGCACACCATTAATTTCTAAGTTGAAATGTTTAATGGTGCATTTCAGTGGAAGGTAGAAGAGCATTTTTAAAAGCAGACATCAGTAGTGATTGGAAATGTCAATTAACATGGTGTAAACAAGCATGAGCTTGTGTATTTCTGTGAAATGGAATCAAACTGCCTCAGCAGTGGGCAAAGTTCCTTTCTGTGCCACTGAAAGGGAACAGTGCCATGGCTACAGACCTGCAGGTGATCGATTACACAGGCTATCAGATATAGATTATTGCATTATCAAATCAAATATTAAATCTGGGATAGGATTTACTGAATTTGATTGTAGGAAACATACACTTGACAAGAGCGTTTTTCTGGCATCCTTTGGGGATGGCAGCTGAATTTTGGGTTTGCAAAACACAAATCACATGTTCAGCTGATAGAAATTGACAGTGATATTAATAAAATTCCACCTGGTTTATCAAGATGTTATGCTCTGGGTCTAAAATGTATCAATAAGCCTAATGTCCACCTGGCTTGTCTTAAAATAATAGTAATATTAATAATATTTGTAGTAGTAATAATAGTAGTAGTAGTAGTAATAATAATAATAATAATAATAATAATAGCTCGTGTATTAATATTGTTATAATAATATATTATTATTAATAATGTTGTATAATAGTATTATACAATAACAGATTTAGGTCTCCATTTTGGGTAATAAGATGTGTAAAGATACTATCCCCTACAAAAATAGGCCTCTATTGATGAACTATTGATGAAATATAAAGTATCTGCACAGATAGAAGATTTGTTTTCTAAGCAGAGACAGGAGGTTATCCCAGTACAGAAGCCACAAGGGTTTGGGTTCCACCTCTTGCAGGGAATAAAAGTGTGACACTGCTAAAAGTGTGACCTGACCAACCACAGCCCCCTCACAGGACCAGTGGACTGGGAAGGGAATGAATTTAAATATAAATTTTAAATAAAATTACAAAAATGTGCTGCAATCCCCTGTGGAGGAGTTCAGTGTGATGGGGCTTTATTTATAAGTGTGGCTACTTGGATGCAGACTGTTGAAACTCCATAACTTTGTACTTCCTTCAATGCTTTTAATTATTCCTTCATAAAACCACATTCCAATTACAAAGTGTAGCATTGAGGAGAAACTGACACTGAATAATGGTGATTTTGATTCTGAAATGACCTAAATCTCCCTGTTTCCACCTCCAGGATGACATGGATGAACATTCCTGCCTGTGTTTCCTGCAGACCTTGCTCTCCCCTGCACCTTTGTGGCACAGACAAATATTCCAGTTCACAGAATGGGGACAATTAGAATGGAAGAAGTTTTTATGGTTTGACTTGGAGACTCTCATTGTGGTTTATTGGATAGTTAGAAGCATCAGCATCTCAGAAGTTAATGACCTGCCTGAAATAATGGGGATTTTAGAAGATGGAATGTTACTAAATTAATAAATATAATAAATATTAACTATTTCACTGCAAGTATATGGTCTATCTGAAAATAAAGCTGAGAACAATGCTGGGTTTTCACTTCAGAAGTGATGGTTTCATATACAACTACAACATTTTTTATTTATGATGTTGATATTCAGAACAGAGCTGTGGATTATATTCATCATGCCCATCTGGGCTGTGCTTGCATGTTAATTAAAACACAATTCCCCTTAATGTGGAGATGCTCTCTGTCTTCAGGCTTGGGCTCCTTCAGCAGGTTCAGGACAGCCTGGTAAGTGTGGGGAAATGTTTCAATGTTTGCTCTTATGTTTATGGTGAAGCAGGGAAAGTTTTCCAGCTCCCCAGGTAATGAGCTTCCAATACAGGAAATATTTAGGGATGATATAGGATCTACTGAGCAAAATGGAAAGTATGATGAGAGATGGAATGAATTATAGACAAGTGAAGGAAATGGGGAAAGTTTTAGGAGAAATTGTTTTATATAGAATAGTTATTATAACACTTAGTCATTAAAACAGCAGTAATAAAATTATATTTATAGCTGAATAAGGAGTCTCGGTGTGATTAAGATATGGAAGCAGCTAATTGGACTGCTGAAATATTAGGATATTGAAGTGATGAAAAGTATACAAATGAAAATAAAAGTGCATAAAAATTAATGAGGAGACCGAAATAGGAAATGGAATGAAGGAAAATAACAAATGAAGCAATGTGGAATGAATAAACACCCAGCTGGTAGACAAGGAGATATTGAGGACATTGCAGAAGTGAGTGGATATCCATTGCCCCAGAGGTGCTGCTGGTGCTGCAGCTGTGCCCAGGGGCAGGGCTTGGGGGTTCTGGGGGTGCAAAGGATGATTTCTGCACCCCAGGATCTCGCAGGTGCAGGGTGGGCTGTTCCTCACCCTGTGTGTGTCTGGGGGTGCAAAGGATGATTTCTGCAGGATGTCCCAGGTGCAGGGTGGGCTCTTCCTCACTCTGTGTGTGTGTCAGGTTTCTGTGGGTGCACAAGCATGAGTTCTGCACACCAGAATTTCCCTGGTGCAGGGTGGGCTGTTCCTCACTGTGTATGTCAGGTTTTTGAGGGTGCAAAGGATGATTTCTGCAGGTTCTCCCTGGTACAGGATGGGCTGTTCCTCACCCTGTGTGTGTCTGGGGGTGCACAAAGACTATTTCTGCAGGATATTCCTGGTGCAGGGTGATCCTCACCCTGTGTGTGCCTCAGGTTTCTGTGGGTGCACAAGCATGATTTCTGCAGGATCTCCCAGGTGCAGGGTGGGCTGTTGTCACCCTGTGTGTGTGTATGTGTGTGTCAGGTTTCTGAATGTGCAGAAGGATGATTTCTGCTCCCCAGGATCTCCCAGGTGCAGGTTGGGCTGTTCTCACCCTGTGTGTGCCACGTTTCTGAGGGTGCACAAAGACTATTTCTGCAGGATCTCCCTGGTGCAGGGTGGGCTGTTGTCACCCTGTGTGTGTCAGGTTTCTGAGGGTGCAGAAGGATGATTTCTGCTCCCCAGGATCTCCCTGGTGCAGGTTGGGCTGTTCTCACCCCATGTCCCCTGCTGGGGAGCCAGGCTGGATGGCTCTGAGGAGAATCAGCCTCTGCTTCTCTGGGGCAGGAGGAAGGCCAGAGGGGTTTGTTGGGACACCTTTGAGCTGGGTTTGTTCCCTGGTGCAGGACTGGGCAGGAGGGGGAATGTCCCATCAATTCTTGTGCTGTAGGAGAAAGGGACAGGGGCAGGGCAGGGACAGGCAGCTCACTCTGGACAAGGTGGGATTGTTCCTGTCACAGGCACCATGGAGCAGGTTTAGGAGCTGGCCTCAGTGTCCTTTCCAAGCTCCCTTCCATCTCCTCTCTGAGGTTACCCAGTGCCTCCATCTCAGACATCCCAGCTCCTCTCACAGGGCCCCCAGTGCCTCCCACAACCCCACAGCGAAGGTTTTCCTCCCAAATCCTGTCCAACCCTGCCCCTTGCCAGTCTGAAGCCATTCCCTGTGCGCTGCCACCCCTGCCCTGTCCCCAGTCCCTCCCCAGCTCTCCTTTGGGCCCTTGAATGGGCTCTGAGCTCTCCCTGGGGTTTTCTCTTCCCCAGCAGCACAACCTCCCCTCTCAGCCTCTCCTCACGCCAGGGATGCTCCAGCCCCCTGAGCATCTCTTTTCTCTCTGTCAGGTAAGAAAAACTATTCTCAAGCAGCTCTCTCTCTATTTAAAGCTTTATTAGTCAGATTATTCTAAGTTCTTCGACTTGTATTTCAATCCTTTCAAGATTCTTATAATAATTTTTAATGTATTTTCCAGGCTTGGAAGATTTGGAAAAAATGCTAACAATTTGGGAAAACATATAAAACATTTATGATGAAAACTATGAGATTTGCTGCACACTTCTCTCTGCAGCTTTGCGGTGATAAATTCAATAGAATTGTTACTGCAATTATATATCAGGACACACAAAGTTTATGCTTGCACATAAATATGAGATGAACTGTCCTGCCAAGCACTTTAAATAGCAGCTGATGTTTCATTATGTCCCTGATTTACACCAACAAGGTAAGATATTTACAGTTAACTAACTCTGTAAATAATTTTGTCCTCTGAGATACCTCGATGTGAAATATGGTCAGGAATGAACAACGAAACAAAGGGTTTGGATTCAACATATCTTTTATTAGGAGCAAACAGCTTTACCTGTATTTATCCATGTGAACTGAATTCTGTTTTACACAGAATTATCTGATTCTCCTCACTATATGTACCTAGAAAGGTTGAACCCCCAAGCTCCATTCTTACTGCATGTTCTGTTAAACAGACATGGTTTCAGCAATCTCCTTTCCTTGCAGGAAAAGGTGAAATTTTGATTTACATCTGGGTCTTCAGTTTTAGATGATTTTTTCCCCCTGAGAAGTGTAGTTTTATCATGACAGTGTGATGCTGTCCAGAAGGAAAAGGTATCCTACCTGTGGAAAGCCAGGCTCTCACACTCAAATTGGGAATTCAGACAGTACAGAAGGGGTAGTTGTGTGTTAAAGCAGAGGGAACAGTTCCAAAATTGATAACAAATAAATAAAGCCCACCATGGATTCTGGCACCCCCCTGGCTGTGCTCTGCTGTATTTCAGGTACCCCAGTGCTGGGCGTGTGTGAAAATAGAGAATTCACTGGTGAATAAACAACGTCAGCAGCTGAGCTCAGTGAGATGAGCAGTGAGCTCTGGGCCAGGTGGGTGTGCAGTTCCCTTCCCTGGGTGTGCAGAACTGCCCTGGAGGGACACAGGAGCTCACTGAGGGTGTACAGCCTCCTGTAGAACTGGCTGAACGCACCTGTGTGGCTGTAGAACCAGCTGAACATGGCTGTAGAACCAGCTGAACACACCTGTGTGGCTGTAGAACCGGCTGGACACACCTGTGTGGCTGTAGAACAAGTTGAACACACCTGTGTGGCTGTAGAACCAGCTGAACATGGCTGTAGAACCAGCTGAACACACCTGTGTGGCTGTAGAACCAGCTGAACACACCTGTGTGGCTGTAGAACCGGCTGAACACACCTGTGTGGCTGTAGAACAAGTTGAACACACCTGTGTGGCTGTAGAACCGGCTGAACACACCTGTGTGGTGCCACAAAGGCTCTCCTCCAGTTTGCTACCAGAGCAGTCCTTTGGATTAGCCCTGCTATTATTAGGATGATGTTTTCTCCTCTAATATCCAGCTTTGAGCTTCCTTATGCCATTTAAACCTATTGCTTATTCGCTGTGGCCACGAGGAACAGATAATTCCATTCCTCTTTGCAGCAGCCTTTTATTTTCCTGATGACTGCTATAATGTTGTCTCATTTTTCTGTCTTTAGGCAAACTACTGCAATTCAATTATTCTTTTGGCACAGGTGGTATTGATTATTCCTAAGTATTCTTGTCCCTAGCACTTTTGCCATTTAAACTATCCTCTGTTTTAAGAGCTAATCTCTACCTCAATAAATCTGTCATCTGGAAGCTTAAGAAAACACAAGTATTTTTTTTCATACAATGTGTAAATAAATGATGGAAGACTTTACACTGGGCATTGCAGAAGCCAAATTATAAATGTGTTCCAAAAGGATTATACCGAGCCCTTATGGAAGAATGGTCCAGAGGGAGCAGCTGAAAATAAATTTCTAAATGCAACCCCTAGCACAGGAGTTCTGAAATTATGGATTGTACCTGGGAGGGATGAACAAGGAGAGGGCTGTTCTTTACTTGCCCTGTTTCTCACATCCTTTCTCTAAGCATCTGTTACAGGATGTTGCAGTTATGACCTTCTTTTGTGGGATTGCTTCATCCTTAATGAGCTTAGGATACCCCGGTTTGCATATGCATTTTGTAAATTTGTTGGCTTATTATTTCTGATAAAACTCATAAAAGGATTATGGGCCTCTTATCTGCTACCAGATTAATTGTGAGCTAAGACAGCAAAGGTTAAGAGGCTTGCCATTTCCTTTCTTCTCCTCCTGCAGATGGCTGCCTGAGTCTCTCTAAAAACATTTATCCTTCATCTTGTTCATTAGTTGTTGACCTATACCTTGTAATACAATCCTCACTCCTTTTTAAGATAAAGGGAAAAAATTATGTAATTATGGAGATAGTCTCATTCTTTGAAACATCTAATTATTTTTTTGAACTGTCCTTATTTCTTGGTTTAAGTTTTAAGACAGGGAATTCCAATTCTGAATTATTCAAGAAAAGAAAAAAATCATAGTGCCCATTTTTAAGTAGCATCACTTCGGTTTTACTTACTTCCCTCCTCTCTTTCCCTTATTTGTATTATTAAGAAAAGTGTTTGAGATTGGTCTTTGGAGGAGAGGAAATTGATTCTGTACAACCTGGATATTATTGGTGGGTGGGGGAAGAGCCAATTAATTGAATGCCAGGGCTGATATCAATCCCTTTTCCAGCTTCTATTTTCTGACTCATTTTGTAATTTCTTGGTAATGTTTATCTCCACCTGCCATTCAATGCTGTGGCATGATCACCAGACATTATTTTTATTTTATCTGCTCTGGCAAGGATTGTGTATGTTGGTCTCTAACCCTGTCCTCCCAGGGTGGGTTTTGCTGCAGCCCCTTCTTTCCTGGTGGGCTGCAGGCAGAACCAAGTGCAAACATCAGCAGTTCTGTGCCAGCTGTGTGCTGGTGGGGCACAGGGGCTGCTCAGGGGCTGTGTGTGAGCTGTGGGGCACTCTGGGATGGAATGGGGAATAAAGGATCCCTCTGAGGGTTTGACAGAACTGGCAGGTGCTGATAACCCTGACCTGTCCCAGGTGGGGCATTGGCATCCCTGCCCCACCCAGCCCAGCCCAATCCAATCCAACCCAACCAAATCCAGCCCAATCCAATCCAATCCAATCCAGCCCAATCCATTCCAATTCAGCACAACCCAATCCAATCCAATCCAATCCAATCCAATCCAATCCAGCCCAATCCATTCCAATTCAGCACAGCCCAATCCAATCCAATCCAGCCCAACCCAGCCCAGCCCAACCCAG